AATATTACTTTGGAGATTTAATGATTAAATTAATTTAATCCATAAAGGATGCATTCATTTTTTCATTTATAATTGCAAATATTGTATCATTAATATCAAACTCTTAATGAGTGGATTTTCGTTCAATTGCATTCAATTCCTCTATAATCATCTGTTCATTTTCTTCTTTATTCAAAAAAATAATTCCTTAGGGATGTAAATATTATAGGGATTATAATAATTTTGATTTATCATTATCATGATCTTCACTTAAGTGAAAATCAGTTATTAGTATGTAAATCATATCCTAATATTTTTTTAAATATTTGATGGTTTCAATTAATTTTCGTTTCATAATATCAGTTCTTTCAAAATTAACAACAATTATAATTGCACTAATTGAATTCTTAAAATGAATAAAGAATTTTTAAAATTATGAAATAGTATCCTCTCTTTTAGCTATGCTAGATTCTAAATCCATTGTTGGTGTGTCAACTATGCAAAGATCTCCTATTTTTCCCAATTGAAATTTATCAAAGTTCATTATAGTTTTGCATTTTAAATAATTGTATGTTTATGTTTTTCCAACACCAGATGGACCTATTAATAATATTTTTTATAATTCTAAAGTTTGTTTTTGATGTAAGTATAATAATGTGATGCCTCCTATATATATAAATATAATCATGGCTTTTAAAATAAATGATAAAGTATCTCTAGGAATAACAGCAATAGCTATAATAGGTAATATCATTAAAATAAAGACAAGTGTCTGTTTAAACTTCAAGTTCATTTCAATAATTAAATAATACAATTGAGTTCACTTCTGCTCTTTAATACTCATTCTAATAGAATTATAAATCTGTGGTTTTTTACATAAATCTATTAAGTTTAATAAAAAATTATTATTAATTATAGTTTATTAGAAATATATATTATTGTTTTTTATTTGGAGATTAATTAATAAAAGCAAGACAAAGAAATTCATTTTATAACATAAAAAAATTGATTAATATATTAAAGAACTCAAGACAGATAAAACGATAAATATTTTAAACAATAGTAAATTAAAAATCAAATTTAGCTGTGAGTGAGGCTTTAATTGAAAATTAAAGCAGATGTTAAAAATTACATTTTTTCAAGATGATTCTTGCTCTTCCTTCTATTCTCATCAATCAATCATTAAATTTATCCTTAGATTTTAGATAATAATTAGCATGACATGTACAGCCATTTGGGTTAGCCTATAGTTTTTGGAGAAGGTCATGATTTTAAAACTAGAGTATCCGTATAAGCTTGTCAATACTACAAATATATATATATTTCTTTTAGCAAAGCAATTAATATTAGAATAATATCAGGATAAATAATATTGAAACTCTACTTTTGTTTCTAAATTAATCTCGATGAGCTTCAATTTCCTAGATTTATCAATCTGTATTGATTATTCTTCATTGAATTAAATAAATCTAATTTGTTCAAGGCATTCATTCATTTTATCCTTGCATCATTAAGTTAAACAAAATTATACATTTCCTATCATCAATATTATTTTAAAGTTGTGTAATTAGAAAAAATCATACATATAAAAAATACTAATCTTAATTTCATAAATAATTATTAACCTTTAATGTTGATTATTAGACTTTTTTATAAATAATAACTTCATGATCATTTTAAATCTGACACATTATTAATTTTTCTATGAACACATTAAATAATTTACTGCTATAATTTTAAATTATTATCTTGATGAAAATACTGTAGCTCAAAATAGTTGTGAACTTCTTTTTTTAATTCGCTAGGTAATCTAGTTCGATTTAATTTAATTTAGAAATGGTTAAAAAATATATAGAATAACAAAATTACTAAAATTACAATCATTTAGTTTTTTTTTCAAAAGCTAATTAATCTTTGAGGATTTTTCTTTGTTAAATTGAAAAGAATTGTATATTTTTATTTTTGGTATTGAATATTTTTGCATTAGTAAACGATGATAGGTAATTTGATGTGGAATAAATATTTTAAGAACAATAACTTTCACGCTATATTTTTATTCGAAAATTAATTAATACAAATACGAAATATAATGGAATTGTAGAGGATATACACACATATTATGTGGTTGAGTATTTGATCAATAAAGATTGTAATTATTTTTCAATCTTAGAATTCCAAAATAAATTGGAATCAATGAATATAGGGAAATGTATCAATATAGATTTACAATTTGACTCATCAAATATTATTCTTTTTCTTCGGTACTTATTTAATTTTCTGCTTCTTTTCATGCTATTAGTTATGATCATTAGGTTTTTTGTGATTATTGATTTTTAATTTTAAATCATTTATCAATTTTTACACTTCTTTATTTTTTGGATTTATCATGATGACACTATTGTAGCAGTTTAATTCTTCCTAAAACTGTTTAATACAACCTAATGAATAACCTGATTAATCAATTTTATTATTTTACCTTTATTCATTAACAAAGTTTAGGTTATTTCTTCATTTGGATTAAGAGATAGTGCTTGATTAAAACATTTAATCGCATTTTGATATTTTTTTAGCACTTGTAAGCAAAATGCTAAAGATTATTCACAGATTACCTTTTTCCATATAATATTCAATGTCAATTGGATTTATTTTAATTGCATTATTATAATATTCGATTGCTTCTTTAGGTCTATCCAATTCTCTTAGCAAATTAGCTATTATAATAATTAGAAATACCCATATTAAATTGAGCAAATTCATTTTTGGGGTTTAGATTGATGGCCTTTGAAAAATATAATATTGCTTCCTCTTATTCATTAAGATTAAGTAATGCGGCACCTAAATTATATATTTTTTAGAATACCTAATTTATTATATGCTTCATCATTTTTTGGATTTTTTTAAATGGCTATTTTTGCTACCTATAAACCTTGTTCGAATTAGTTCAATTCTATTAATGCAGCGCCTGATATTCTAAAATTAATACTTTTATTAACATAGGCCTCATCATTTGAAGGACTTAATTTAATTACTTTATCAAATTAAATAATTGATTCTTCAAATTTTCTTTAACGCAATAATGAAAGTCCTCTGTTTATTAATAATTTTTCAGAATTTAAGCTTGACTTTTTTGATTGTTCTTTTTATTTAAGATTCTTCTCTTAATCATATAATTCCACTAATATCTATACTAAATTATTACTTTATTAATTTTTTACTGAAATCTTTTCTTTCTTCCTCTTTTACAATTTAACTTTTTGAATCTTATTTCCGTTTTTATTTTGTTACTTTTACTTTATTTTTTTCATAGTTAAGAAAAATTAATTAATATATATAATTATATCTATTTTCCATTTATTTTACTAACTATTTATATTACATTCTCACTTAAATTACTTTTAACAAGCTGTCCCATGTAATTAACTATTTTCCATCCTCACTGACTGCTCCATAAAAATTTTAGATTCCTAAATTAATAGATTATTCTATTATAAAATAATTATCATCTTTCTATCTTATAATATGAACATAGAAGCCATTTTTATTAAAGAGAAGGTGTTTTTCTTATATATACTATTAAGAAAACAAGGAGTAAATATCTGGACTATTTTAAAAATCTATTTCTGATTTCTTTATAATTTAATCATTTTATATCTAATAAGTATGCATGTATTATCTATTATTTGGTTAAAATGCAAATAAATCATCATTTATAAAACATAATCTTAATCCATACTATTCTACAACTATCCTTTTTTTTACAACCCATTTTCTATCTGATTCTTAAGATTCGATCATTAGTATTGACTTATATTCACTGCATGTAATTAATTTATTTTATTATTCAGTTATACTTAATACTAATATTCTATTTTTATGATCATTAATAGTTTACTAACAATTCCATTAATATTATTTGTGCCAAAATTTTGTTGTCAAATCATCACTACCTGAAATGATAAGATTGTCAGTTTTATTAATTAAAACACATCTAATAAAATTAACATGACCTTCTAATTTTTATTTTCATTCCCATAAATTATTTTGATTAATTGACCATATGATTA